CTACTTCTGACTGTTCACTCTGTCGCAAATGTTTATGGTTGCACATGTATAAATGTCTACAGGAAGTATGGTTCTGTCTCTGCCTGCAGCTTCTCCCAGTCTCATCCTGATTGTCCACCCACCTCTCCTAAATGCTGTAGTTGCTCCATCAAAATACCTGTCATTTTCTCCCTTAAATACTACATTCTTAAGAACACGTGACTCACTCACATGGTTAATCCTTACTCCTTGATCATGATGTTCAGGACTTTTCCAGTTTCTATTGCTAAACTTGATTTTAATGTACTATTTCTCTCATTAAAAAAGTAAATAAATTATTAGGCACCAAAAAACCAAAAATGCAGATGCTAATAACTGAATTATTTATCACAGAGGCTATTCTAGGAACTTGCTGGAAGTTTGGTTTAGATGTTCTTTGATGGTACAATTGCTTTATCTGAAGGAAGAGGTGCCCACAGAACAACACAGTACCAGCCTAACTAGTCAGTATAACTGACTCACGCTGGATAGTTATTCAAACACAATTACTGTCAGCAGAGGGAATGGACATGTTTGTGGCACCTTGTCCTGATGTAAAACATATGTTAGCATCAGGTTGTTAACTGCAGCAATTGAAATAAAAGGAATTAGAAATGCCCAATCAATAGATACATTTAACTGCTTGTGCATCTATTACTCTTCCTGTTCTCTTAAAGACAGAAATTTCTCATATATTTCATTATTTCATGTTCTCCTTAGCTTCTGCACTCATTCTACTGCATGATAACCTATTCCTCATGGCTTACCTTAGCTTTGCCATCCTGTGCAGACATATATCCTACACACATGCTCTCTGTTGTATGGCTCCACAGAAATTCCACTAGAAAGGAAAACACAAAAAGTCACAAAAAATGACTTGGATGAAAACATAAGATGCAATTTAATAAGACTGGAATTCAGAGGAACAAATATGGCTTAACTTCAAGAACAAAAACTACTTACCACAGTAATTAAATACCAAAAGGAACAGCTATCAAACAAACGAGGTTTACCTGCACTATTTGCAGTCACACACTGCAGAACTAATGCCCAGAATTAGAACATTACTTCAATGACATGGAGCCTCCAAGATGAGTAATGCACCAACTGCAGCTGCAGCTAAAAGACTGGACTAACTTCTAAAGCAGAGGCCTGTTCCGCTCAAAGCAGAAGCTGGTCTAATTTCCAGTTATTTGCCTTGAACCACACAAAAGCACACTACAACAGCAGAAACCCAGATGGCCTACAAGGATTCAGTAGAATTGACACACTATCAACAGAATAACCAATAACAAGCATTTTTTTTTTTCTTCACAGAACTGAGCATAAACATATATACAGCATGTAACTATCAATAGGTAAATGGGAGATTTGTGTTTTAGCTGCACAAGGAGGACACAAGAAAACATGTAGAACCAGTCAAGTCTGCAATATGGGAACTGAAGATACAGACAAGGCAAGAAAGGCATCTGGTGAAAGCAAAATTATCCTGCAGGAAAATGCAGGAGAGGTGCCTCATGAAAGCAGAGTAACACTGCACAGTAAGAAAGATTCCTGGCAAAATTAGAGCAAGACCTGGATCCAAAAGCATGCTGAACTACAACAGCAGATGCAATCCCTTCCTTTCTTTGGGGAGAGGGTAAGAAGCACCAAAGCTAAGAAAGGTAAGAAAGATGAAAAAGAAACAAGCTTATTTTGATTTTGGCTTATCATGGCACTCCCAGGTCTGATCACCTAGATTTCTAGCACCAGCTATACATTATGAGCTTTCTGGTACTGTACTCGCAGCTCATTTATGATATCAATAAAGCCCAACTGTTGTGTCTGTAGTGTTAATGATTAAGAAAACTAATCACTGCTAACATGTATTGTTAATGCTTGCTAATCCAGGAAGGTCTTGACCTAAAGTTTTAAAGTGGCACAATTTATCAACTGTTCAACAGCCCATTCCAGTGATCTTGAATTCCCTGATACATTCACAGGTACCTATACACACACACACTCCTACTCAGTTGCAACACAATATTCAGGCAAAGAGCACATTATTCATACGTTCAGCTCTCAGCCAGTGGAGCTTCATAAACTGTCACACTGCATTCTTCCTGCCCTAAGTCATGGTCATTTTTCTCTGTGTTTATTAAGAGCACAATCTGGGAGGGGGGAAAAGAAACAAAGAATAGCTGCCCAGAATTCATGGTATTTCATAGAATACGGTAAAAGGTTTAAAAAATTGCACTGAAGTCTAAATTCTTCCCTTGGATTACAGGATGAGTCTTAAATGAATTATATAAAATGCCATGAAAAGCTATTTGTACATATTTCTTTTGAGAGTGACTTTCACATCCTGCAAAGAGCATCATTAGATCAGTTTGAATCTCTTACTCATTGCTATTCCTCACTTTCCTTTACCATGGCTGATGAAGGTCACAGCATGCTGAGCACACCTCTTCTTTGAACCATTTCTCCCTGCATAGCAATTAACCTGGAGCAGAAGATCAAAGTTTACACAATTCCAGCAAGGTTTGAAGATGCTGACAGATATGTAGATAGCATCATAAAAGATAAATGAACTTCACTGAGGTATGTGCTTTGCTCCCCCATAACAGATTCATGATTGATAACCACCAAAGGTTAGTCAAAGCTTCCACAGAGTGAAACATTCAATGTGTGTTCAACAGGACCAACCTCTCCCTGGCACCCTAAAGGTACAACTGTCAGTGAAAACATTTATTTTTTTGCAGACAAATTTAATCATATCTTTCAATTTTGAGAAGCTGGGCAACAGTTCAGGCCAAACACCCTCAAATACTATATCTTTGCCTTTGATAACTCTAGGCATAGTCTTTTACAATTTTAATAATAATTTTTTCCTTCTCCACTGTCCCCCAAAGGCAGCTTGTACTAGCCTGATCCATGGTTGTTGTTAGCTATTACGAGTAGTGGAATTAAAATGAAAAATCTGCATTACATGTGAAATGTCTTCAGGTAAGTATATTTTCAGCCATTTAATAAATCACATCCCTGCCATTGGTTTCAATATTTAAAAAAATAATAAATATGATCCCTGCAATGAAGACAGGAGATTTCCTTATTCTATACACTAAGTTTCTCAGCATTACACAACTTACTTTCAGTCCAAATAACACACATATTGCATATGTTTAATGATATATTAACTCAGCATGCACTGTAAGGGAGGAAATTTCTGTGGTACAGAAAAAAATACTGTGCTACACTTGATCTGAATCTTATTTTAGTAGAAAGAAAACCAAAAATCAATGAACAAATAATTTTTACTTATGATGTGCAATACATGGGGATTTTATTTATTAATTTTTGAGGAAAAAACACCAAACCTTCACTAACAGACCATGTTCTCTTACATGAATGACAAAGATCAAATGAACAGAAATAATTCTATCACTTCCAAACACAAGAAATTGAAGGTTAAGTTGATCTTGTTTGGTCTTAATCAAATTTGCATTTTCATTTTCTTAACTCTTTTTGAAGGATAGAATTTATGTGGTAGGATGCTTTTCCACTAGACAATGTCACAACTGGGTAAATAATAACAAAGCAGAGTATTATACAAAAGAAAAACACATGAATTCCGGAAACATGACACCAATCTGTATTAGCCAGGTGCATGTGATCCAATATATAAGCACATAGCATGACCAAACATATATGCCAACATCTGAGGAGCACCACAGGAAAGGAGATGGCCCAAGTGTCATCCTGAAGTAATTCATATGCCCTCAGCCCCAAATTCCTTCCCTTAAAGAGGCTTCACTCTCTCTGGGTTGTATTTCCACCCAGTTCTGCTCATGGTCTAGAGTCTTCAGCTTTTTAACTGCTGTTCCCAGACAAACCACATGACAGTTTGCTATAATACACGTGTTCTGCTGTAAAGCAGCAAGAGAAATAAGGATCATGTTCCCAGGACAGAAACAAGGCTGAAGGGCTGTAAAGCTCTTTTCCACCAGTCAGCTACAGGCAAGGTACAGTTTCCTGCCGATCACAGTATGAGCAACAAATACTCTTGTTAGGCACAAATGCAAAGAGTAACTGTGTGTTATCTCAACAGAATTTCCTGGGCATTACAAAAAAATTATAACCACAAAACTGCCTTTCCAAATTTTAAGTGTTTCCTCCAAATTTTCACATTTTGTCCTGCAAAAATGAGGAACTTTTATGAAAGCATTTTTAGCATACAAACCACTAAGAAGCAGTAAAAGGTTGTGTGCGTTACCTCAGCTAAAAATGCAGTTTTCTTCCTCTAAGAAACATATTCTGCCCTGACACAATCAACTATTTTTTCCATTCCATGGTTTTAGAAGGATCCCACACAACCCTCTGAATCACAATTCTGCTTAGAAACACCAAGTCAGAAAGAATGCTCTTTTTCCACAGTCTTAAGTAATATTAGCTTTGTTTATTCCCCATTTCACTTTCTAGATTTTTATCACCTTGATTTCTTTTTGTTTTCTCTGTGGTTTTTGAACACTGCCAAACATGCACAGAAAGTTTTTATTTCAACCTTCACTTTGAGTTAGCACCTAGCTCAACTAAAATGAGTAAGAACTTCTTACCTAGTAAAGTTGGCTTTTCCTGGGATGATTCAGTCTCTGCTGAACATCTGCAAGACCGAAGAACTATGACACCTCCAAGTACACCATCTTCATTGGCTAGAAAAGGTGAACCTGGGCAAAATCATTGGAGAGAATTATTTGCAATAGCAACAGTTTCTTTGGTATTTTTATATTGGACTTTCTGTCTCCCCCCTTTAATCTTGTCATTAAGAGTTGAAGAGACTGATGGTGCTTTTACAAAAGCATCAGTTCTTTTTTCAAGTGCTTCTAATGAATCATTTCCTAAATTGTAACCTACTAATTTACCAGTAAGCAAAGGTAAAAAGAGCTACATGGAATAAACTAAACGCATTAGAAATTACACTACTAAGTGCAAATTCATTTGTTCACGGATAAAGGAAAATACTGTATCAGGAACAGTGTGGTCAGCAGGACCAGGGAGGTGATTCTGCCCCTGGACTCAGCGCTGGTGAGGCCACACCTTGAGTACTGTGTGCAGTTCTGGGCCCCTCAGTTCCGGTGTGACATTGAGATGCTGGAGCAGGTCCAGAGAAGAGCAACGAGGCTGGTGAAGGGACTCGAGCACAAGTGCTATGATGAGAGGCTGAGGGAGCTGGGGGTGTTCAGCCTGGAGAAGAGGAGGCTCAGGGGAGACCTTATTGCCCTCTACAGCTCCCTGACAGGAGGTTGGAGTCAGGTGGGGGTTGGTCTCTTCTCCCAGGCAACCAGCAGTAGGACAAGAGGGCACAGACTCAAGCTCTGCCAGGGGAGGTTTAGGTTAGATATTAGGAAGAGATTTTTTACATAGAGAGCAAGCAGGCCTTGGAATGGGCTGCCCAGGGAGGTGGTGGATTCACCATCCCTGGAGGTTTTCAAGATGAGACTGGATGTGGCACATAGTGCCATGGTCTAGTAACCATGGTAGGGCTGGACTTGATGATCTTTGAGGTCTCGTCCAACCCAGCTGATTCTATTATTCTATGAATAATGAAAAATGGAGTGTCAATTTGAAAAAAATTCTGCTTCAGTATTTGGTTCTTTCTGTACTATAATTAATATAAAGATGGCCACGTGGAAAAAAAAAAAAAAATCAAGCAAATTTGGGTAGTTTTTTCAGTTTATGCATCTTCCCCAATTTAAAGTCCTTTGCACAGAGCCAAATTGCTATTCTGCCTTCCTTGCTGGTTGAGGATTATTAGGAGAAAAGCCCAAATACGTCCTAAATTTTATAGTGGCTTTTCTGTTGCTAATTTAAGACATACAACACAAAGCATCTTTTAGAAGCTGGAAAAGTTTTCAAGTTAGATAAATCAAGTCTAAGTATTCTTTCTCTGGTTTGTAATTTGAAGTAAGATTATCCTATAGTTGTAAAGGTGAAAACAATCGTATAATTTATATACAATGAATAATATCTTGAGCTACAGAATTGAGTTCTCAGTCCATAAAGAGCCTATTCACACATTTGCAATACACTTAATTTAAAACTGAACATACAATTGCAATAGGCATTTCATATACTTCTTTTCAATCACTTTCTTTTAAATAAATTAGTCTACTATGTCTAGCGTACAGACACTGCAAAAGGATTTGCTGGCCACAAGAATTTTAGAGCCGATCTACTCATCAGACTCCTTCAACTTGTCCACAGCTATTTGTATCATCAAAATTATTCCTTTAATGCAAGTAGCAACGAAAAAGCTCAATTTAAAAAAACAACTTCAAGCTTTACCATTAGGAAAACTAAAAGCTCTCAACTCAAGAGCAGCCATGTTCCAAGGTGATACAAGATGGGCATTGCACGAGAGTCCCACATTGCAGGAAAATACTAAGTATGGTACGTTTAATAAACAGTAATACCTTATTTGATCTAATACAAACAGACATTATCTTTAAAGTGCCACTTGCTTTGTACAAGAACTATTACTAGGTATCAGTTACACCTCCTGTATTACTCACTGACTGTGACCAAACCCTTGTGAACCAAGAATGCAGCCAGTGATAAGGTAAGAGATAACAAAACAGGAAAATATGTCTGGTTAAAACAGAAATGTGAGGCTTGGGAAGTTGTAAAGAGTTTTACCACCCAAATAAAAATATTTCACTCCATGCTTTCCAAGGGCTAAGTATATCTCTCATACTCTCACTACATTAACCAAGTGCTGGCTAACTACATGGTATGACTTCTGCAAGCAAATGAATAACAAAAATAGTGGTTATCTTCATAGAGGACACATTCTTTAATCTTTATTTCAGAAACTCAGGTACTTCAAGGACAATGTCTTAAACTGAACTTGGTCTGCAGGCCTAATCTTACACTCAGTTGCACAAATGATTTAGGCTATAAGCTGTGTTGTGGGGAAAAATCATTGCAAAGAGACAGAAAAAGTTCTGGTTTGTTTTCTAAGAAGCAGTTTCTCCTCCTCTTAGAAAGGCTATGAAAGATTCTTTCAAGGTTGTGGTGAAAAAACTAATAATCTCTTCAATTAGTATGGTTAAAAATGTTCTGCTTCAGCAGAACACAGTCAGCAAACAGCGTTTATAGCAGGCAGTATATTTAAGGCCATAGTAAAATGCTAAGACTGCACCAGCACACAAAATTCAAAAGGTCTTGAAGACCACACTAAATACTCAAAAGCTGTATTAATTTGGCCTTTGCTGAACTACATCTCTACTGTTAATTCCACTAGAAAAATCAAGAAGAGGATGAGTGTAATAGCACTGCACAGGATAAAAATTTTAACCTCCGCACTCATTAAACATATCAGATGATCAAGATGCTGACTTCTTTAAGAATGATACAAGCTGGGCCCTTGGAGAAAGAGCAAATGTGGTTACTCCAAAAGAGACCAGGTCATTGTGCACTAATTTGGTAAGAATTGACCTTAGCAGTGGTAATTGGGTGAGACAGAGATGAGTAAAATAGCTTAAAGTGACTTGTAGTGGGAAATTCAAATGGATTATTCAATCAGATGTCTTGCAAATTTGTGTTATGCAAACAAAGCAAAGATGATGGGATGCATTCTCTCCTCTACAGACACAAACACAGGATTCCTTGCCCTTTTAATCTTCGACACAATTTTATCATCAATTGCACAATGAACATTATTCTGGAAAGGTGAACATATTCCTTCTTTTCATCTCCAAACACAAACAGCAGATGAAGACACACACAGTCACTCGCACAACCCCTACAATAGTTCACGATCTTCTCACTCACATCACTTCCAGGGCTGTTTCCCTCCTTCTGCTAAAGGCTTCCATCCCCAGAGTCATCAGAAGCAAATTGTATGACTATACTCTCATCCACTCCAATTGCTCACACCAGCAACTGCAGCTACATCATCTCAGTGCAAAATCAGCAACAGTAGTGTGTGTCTCCAATTCACTGGCTAAGTCATGGGGAATCAACCTCTAAAAAGTGTCATCAAAACCCCCTTGACTACAGTAATACTATTACAGTACTCTACATTTCAGTAAATTCAGACTGTTTCTCCTCTAAAAAAAAAATCAGAATTTAAGCCAAGCTAAATACACACTGAACAGCACATTCTTTAAAACAGAGAATGCATTTTCAAATTAAAGAAGTATTTTCTAAATGTCAAAAGAGGGATTCAAATGCATTAACTTTTTCAAAGGTCTTCCTGGATATGCAGACTTATTACTGAGGATTACAATTACGTCAAGCAGTGTATTTTAACAGAGCAATTCAGTGCAAATGAGTAGTCTGTTGTAAATTAAATTCCAACCAGCAAAATGTTATCATTAAACCTGCAAAAATAATGGTACAAAAGCAGCATTTTACTTCATTTCTAAACTGAATACATGGATCATGCACAGTAACTAATTTGAGTGCTCTCAAAATAATATGAATTCAAAGGTCAGCAATACCTTTCATTAATTTAGTTCTAGAACTCATTTTGTTACAGTCAACCCATTGAGAAAAGGCAATAATGGTGCAGACTTCTGTAAAAAGTAACAATATAGGTAATGGCATTTTTTCATATGCATTATATTTAATTAGTATTTCAAGAGGAAGAGAAAAGGTGAAATACTGCTACATATTAAAGGCAGAATGGTTTCTCATGAGAAGGAAAAAGTGATCTGGCTATGCCACTTTTGCTCTTTCTATTCTTCAGAATGACAGATCTGCTGTACAAATTAAAATCTAGTTAAAATAAACCCAAAATACGCCTACTAGCAAAAAACATTGTTTTCTACTGCAATAAAATAGAATTACTAGGCAAATCTTTGAAAATGGTATTAAACACCCCAAGTTTTTGTAGTTTTGTTATTAGCAAGCTATTAGATGAGTCTCATGAAACACATTGTTCCTTTTCCAGTCACACTGGAACAGCACTGAGGAATGAGGCATGAAAAATCCAAAGTAGAACCCCAACTGCAGCATTAACTAATAATGTTAGCATTGACTGGCCACACCAGAGAGAAGGAGCAGGAAAAATACAAACAAAAACATCTTTCAATGGTTTTGGTTTAATCCTCACCTCACTCAGTCATAAAATTATATTTTACGTAACACATTTCCCTCCTTCAAAGCTCAACTATTCTGTTATTGCTATCTGACATATAGAAAGCATTACCTAGTTTTTAATTATGTATTTCGCATATTATTAGTCTGCAGTAATGGTCTCTTAAAAACAAGCAAATGGGTCATCAGAGCAACTCTGCATTCACTGATTCAATCAAGTTCTGCAAGAGCAACCAGGACTGGAGACCATGACCAAAGTTCAACCACGGACCAGGGACAGAACACAGATATCTCACAGGTCTTAAAGCAAATGATGGCCTCGACACCCTGCTGCCTTGCTCTGGAGAACTGCAGCTACAAGCGAAGAACACTTTCTTCGATGTCTTTTGTCAATTAAATCCCTCCCATGGTGGAGATTGCTTCTTCCAGAGTATGTGATTGAGCTGAGTGGATGATTTTTGATCCTGTGCTTCCCTCCCCCCCCATTTGTAGCTACTGCACAGATCCATTCTAGCACAGATTCGATGCTAAGCTGTAAAAGTGTTTTATTTACACTTACCCAGCTGAGGGATGAACCAGCTGTTCATCAGATGTTTTACATTCATACTCTTCCACAGCAGAGAAACCATTACCAGCTTCATTGCTTACATTAGCTTTCAAAGGCTTCAAAACTTTGGTCTCAACATTGACTGTGACATGGTGCAACCAATTAAGTGCTTCAGCATCCCCTAGTTTTAACAGAGGGCAACTAAACAGTTCTAAACCTTCTTGTGCTGCAATGTGAGTGAAATTCAGACTTCATCAGGACAACAATCTATATATCATCAATGCCACTGGACTTTGCTGGCTTGTGTACAGAATGCAGAGAAAGAGAAGCTGTTTGCCACTCTGCTTCTGCTATGCATCCCACTAAACTCCAAGGTAACAATTTAAAAAAACATTATAATGTTATTAGAATGGACTATAATAAGCACTAAATGAAGCCTTCCTTTAATTTATACACCGTTCTTTGCTAAATGTTCAAGCATGAGCTGGCTGAAATCAGAGATCTTCATTTCACAGTAAGTTGAAACATCGATTCAGAACTTTTAAAGAAGCTGCAAGGGAAAGCATCTGCACCTTCAAACTTTACAGTAAGATTTTAAGAAATTAAGTAACTGAGCATACCACAGACCAATAAAATTCCAATGCTTTTGACAAGAAGCACAGGCAGGACCTAGCCAAATCCTTTTGTAGTATCACCATGTGCTAGAGCATGTCCAGAGAAGGGCAACAAAGCTGGACTCAGGGGAGACCTTATTGCTCTCTACTGTGCCAGGAGGGGGTTAGCCTCTTCTCCCAGACAACTAGTGACAGAGCAATGGAACATAGCCTCAAACTTGCTAGGGGAGGTTCAAGTTGGACACCAGGAAGAATTTCTTCACTGAAAAGGGTGGTCAGGCTGCCCAGGGAGGTGGTGGAATCATCATGCCTGGAGGTGTTCAAGAAACCACTGGATGTGGCACCTAGTGTCATGGTCTAGTTGACAAGGTGATGTTGGTCAAAGGTTGGACTTGGTAATCTTGGAGATGCTCCCCAACCACAGTGATTCTGTGATTCTGTTACTCTTCCATCTGGTTTTACTGTGTAGCTAACAAAGGCCTACTAACTTTGGTCTACCATCAAATACAAACTTGTGAAAATATAAACATGCAGTGGATAAAACACGTTCTATGAAACTTGAGGATCACTTCATTCTCATCTCATCCTCTGTGCCATGGAGTAGCATATAACACCTCCATGGCATGGTTCCTCTGCCACAAAACCACAAAGGATACCACAAAGCTTAGAGTCATGCAGCACCAGAATATGAAGTAACAATAACACTGTGCCATGCCAGTCACTGGCAGTCTTGTAACTGTTAAAGTATGAGGCTTCCCCCCCTCAACAAGCATAACTCATAATCAGGAAATTAATATTCTGTGACTCCTAACTGTCCAAACTCCTGCCTCAAAGAGAAGAATTTGGCACTAAACTCCTATGAGAGAAACTGCCAGTATTATCCTTCTGCTATTACCTTTCTGCAGACTTTGCTAATTTGTCAACTGAAACACAACTTAAAAATACAAGAATAAACATATATCCACTAAGGAAAGAACAAGTACCATATTCCAAGTACATCTTTCAGCTCATTCTTTTCTAATACTTTATATGAAGCTTTCAAGTACAACTAGTAACACTTTCATTGTCAGAGGTCCAGACTACCCACCAGTGAGATGACACAAACATTTACTCTAAGTCTACATTCCACAAACTTGGCTGCATTTGAAAGGAATGATGAGTAACAAAATCCTCTATTCTTCTGTTTGGAAGGTATTTGTGTTTACAGAACACCATTCTTCAACTGTAAACCAAGCCTTTAGTGCTCTTTGACTAAAGATACAGAGCCTATTCCATTTAAAAAAATAAAAAATAAAAAATATCTAAATTTAACTTCTCTCACCTTCAACTCAGACATCAATTGTGGATTCACCATAGTAAGATGGCTAGCAGAAAGGATGAGAGAAGCACATCTGACATGAGTTTGCTCATCACCTGCTGTTTAAACAGCATTCACTGTTTAAGTCAGGCATTCCCTAGCTGGAAGGATTCCCAGGGCTCTGCAGAGACTCAGAGTTCTGTAAACAGGAAGCACCAATCTGATGGCAACTGCCAAAATCAGCTGTTCACCCCTCCAATACAAGTAAGGCACATTTTGACTTCTGACAAAACATTCTAGCTCAGCTTTGTTAAAGGCTGGGGCTTTTTTGGCCTTGGTCCGTTATAGTTCTGGTGAAGGTTTGGCAAGATCACAAAACAGGCTTGAAGGAAGGCAAGGGAAGAATCCATGCCATCAGCAAGGAGTCTATTAGCCCATTTTATCCTATTGTTTCAGAAATCCTGCATCAAACCATACATGCCATGCTAGCACATCACAGCTATGAAAATTCACTGAAAAAAATTTAGTATAAGCCTATTGTTTTAAGCATAATTCATGTTTTCAACTGTTGCATTATATTAGGCAGACATAACTTTGCATTCCACCTTCAAATTGCCAAGATCCATCAAAATCACACTGCTGGCTACAAACTTTGTACTGTGTCACACATAAACAGCAAGATGTGTCTAGATTCTAAGGTTTTTACCAATCGGTCTTCATGACTATTTACAAGAGTCTGTAGTGATGGGACAATGGGGAACAGCTTCACACTGACACAGAATGGGTTTAGATTAGATATAGGGAAGAAATTCTTCCCTGTGAGGGTGGTGAGGCACTGGCACAGGTTGCCCAAAGAAACTGTGCACTCCCCATCCCTAGAGGTGTTCAAGGCTAGGTTGGATGGGGCTCTGAGCAACCTTGTCTAGTGGAAGGTGTCCCTGCCCATAGCAGGGGGTTGGAACTAGATGATCCTTAAGGTTCCTTCCAACCCAAACCATTCTATGAATCTATCATTCATAGGACAGCTGAGGGCAAACTAGATTTTATGCTTTCTAATCTAAAGACAGAATCTGAGCACTTCATCTACACAAAAACCAAATCTGGCTCTAATTTTTTCCCCCCTCATCAGCATTGCCCCAAAGTACAGCTGAGAGGATACCACACATACCTTCTGTCAGGCAACAAAAACTTGCAGTGATAGATTTCTGAAAATAGAAGACAGACCTACCCCTAATTAAAACATGAAACTTTATAAAGGAATTACAAAACGTGTTTCTTCACATTTTCTTATCATGAAAAGCATTCTTTTGACACTGTCTCTCATTTTTTTCACTTTCTCTTGGTTTTTTTGGGTTTAGTCTGTTTTCCTAAGGCACTAAGACATCACACTGTTAGCCTGGTATCTGTCTGCGCAGCTCCTCTTTCTGCAATTGATACCTTCAGGTATAACAAAACCTTTAGCAACATTTAACATGCTCTTAATTCCTACAGAAACATTTTCACATTTCCAGTAAAGAATGCAATGTATACATGACATAGTAAGCCAGTTAACATTTAAAACGAAAACATCTGCGCTGCAAACTAGTGGCAAAATATGTTTCCATTAAACAGCAAGAGAAGAATTACATTTTTTGTTAACCATTACCAAAAAGAAGAAAGAAAACACAGAAAAATCACAGCGACTTAGTGAAGGTGCCTCAACTAAAAGGTATGGTTTATTTTTGGTTTTTATCAACCATTTCTATGAATTACTTGAGCAGTACCTTTCCATTTTGTGAAATACATGAAATTGCATAAGGATACGTACAATTTGCGATTCCTTTTAGTACTCCTACCACAACCACCCTAATAAATTCTGGGAGTGTGAACTAAAGGTCAGACTTTCCTGAACTAAGGTCACTTCCATACAATACCTGCAAAGCAGGGCTACAAATCAGTGAAGCTACCACAAGCATCCTTCCAAAAGGCTTCTCTTGGGTAGGCAAATTCCAAATTTTGTTCCACTATCCACGGGAACGAGTGATTAAATACGAAGTTATATTTCTGCTGCTTGGATTAGAACCTTATTGAGGGACACGCAGGGATGAATTTGCTCTGCATTCTTACAGCAACTAGAAATTATAGCAGTACATCAGAAGATTACCAAGTGCAGCTTTCCAATGCTAAGGTGACTTCTCCTCAAAAAGTCAGATGTGACATTGTCAGAGGCAGAGTTTAACACTAATTCAACATCATAAGCAGAAATAAATAAATTGCAATGCATTGCTTGCCAAGACCAAGTACCTTGGCCCCTGGGACCCCAAAAGATGTGTGTCACTCCTTCAGTTCTAATTAAGATACCATAAAAATGAGCTTTGGCAACACAGTGTACAAGTACCACCATATTGTCCGGAAGTAAATTCTGAAGGTGAAAATTGTCTGTGGATTCTAAAGCTTCACAAACGTTAAGGGCTATAAAGACACTGCAAGTCAACATATGAAGCCTCATTAGAATCTAGGCAACCTTCAGAAATTCAAGCTTGTATGGGTATTTTAAAATTCCACCTCTGTATTTTGGTTATGACTTGAAGAAAATAAGATCTATATTCACAAGAAATTAAACACACACACGGTCATGTGTAATTCTCTGATATTAAGGGAAAAATTGGCTTTTTGAATGAAGTCTACTTCACTTTTTCAAGAAATTAATTTCATCTTGTAAACAGCAAACCAGAATCTGTCTGTCCAAAAGCAATTCATTAGAACACACAATGGTTTTGAAGCCTACTATTTTTCAAAGGGTTAACATGATGAATAATTTTTACTAATGCTCCTAAACCACCAATTCTAAAACATGCAATTGTACACCACAATCCATGATTCAGGCAGGAAATTCTTTCTTCAAACCTCTCCGTGTATTCTATGACTCACATAACAATTGAGATATTTCCAAAGGTTTTCCTTTAGACTTCCTAAAATATTCCTCTGTAGTTTAAGATGTAACACAACACTAAATCCAAAGCCAACTGCAACATAAGGCTTCAACAGAGCTCATGAAAATAAGCATATTAACTTTATTTAACTGTGCTCCTTGCATTCTAAACCATGTTAGGCAATGTTTAGGCAATTAGGACCATTTACTTACCAATAAACTTGTTTTGCATAGTCTCTAGGAGAGCTTGGTGGGCATCTTCTGTTTGCAAAGCACATGAACATTCTCTGGCCAATATGGTTCGGACAAGGTGCTCTCCACAACCTACAGGAATAAGATTGGGAACAGTCAGAATATAGATATCACTATAAGGAACCTCTAGTCATTAATTTACATTATCACATTAATTTAGCTGTGATGATGTAAAATAATGACAGTTTGTTCACAATGATGCATATGACAAGTTCCTGACATTTTTAATTTTTTTAAAGAGTCACATGAAAATTCAACTATGTCAGTGGTTTTTCTGACAGCTTTCCTGACATTTCTACTGAACACATTCATAAACCAAAAAGGGTAAATACAGAAAGAAGAAAGAATGAGGCCTGTCTCTGACTTGTCACCTTCATCCAGATACTGCACTTCTGTATCAAAGAATCCACTTACTAATCATTTTCTCAGGAATTATCCTTGCATGCAACTCTCCAAATCGAGAACATCTTCAGCAAATGCCACAGTAACTCCTTTTGCATGACAGAATCTTCTGTTTAGTCCATCTGATTTAGTACTTTGTCAGCAAAGGAATACATGAATTCACCCATGCCTTTTTTCTCCACAGTGGTTGCTCACTGGACTCCTCACACAAATTCCTGTAATTTTTAAAGGTTTGTCTTTAAGAAACTAATAAGCTTCAGCAAACAACCACTTACTGCCTTCAGCACTTTCTGTAACTATCCCATGAAACCTATTGATGATGAAGACAGGTAATGATGATGAAGAGCAGGTAATTATTCCTCCCATTTGTTGGCATTTTTCCTCAATGGCAGGAAGCAAACAAAGCAGCTAGAAGAAGGTCTAACCAAGAGCCAGTTAAACAGTGTCATCCAGTTAGGAAAGAAGGAAAATCACAGCTAAACAATTTACAACTAATATAGCAATGATTTCAAGCTATGTAAAGTTAAGTGACTATAGTTAGATCATACTTGTAACTTCTGAGTGTGTATATATA